TTTAAAAAAAATCTGTCATCTAAGGCAAAAGAAATGAAAGCAAAAATAAACAAAATGGGACCTAATTAAAATTAAAAGCTTTTGTACAGCAAAGGAAACCAAGCAAAGCAAAAAAGACAATCTACTGAATGGGAGAAAATATTTGCAAATGATATGACCGACAAGAGGTTAATACTCAAAGTACATAAACAGCTCATACAACTCAACACACACACACACACACACACAACCAAACAATCTGATTAAAAATGGGCAGAAGACCTGAATAGACATTTTCCCAAACAAGACATACAGATGGCCAACAGGCACATAAAAAAAATGCTCAACATCATTAGTCATCAGAGAAATGCAAATCAAAACCACAATGATATACCACCTCACACCTTTCAAAACGGCTATCATCAAAAAGTCTACAAACAACAAATATTGGTGAGGATGTGGAGAAAAGGGAACCCTCTTACACTGTTGGTGGGAATGTAAATTGGTGCAGCCACTATGGAGAACAGTATGGAGGTTCCTCAAAAACCTAAAAATAGAACTACCATATGACCCAGCAATTCCACTCCTGGGTATATATCCAAAAATAAAAACCAAACCAAAACCACTAATTTGAAAAGAGATATGCACCCCAATGTTCGTAGCAGCATTATTTACAATAGGCAAGAAATGGAAGCAACCCAAGTGTCCAACAGCAGATGAATGGATAAAGAAAGTACGGTATATATACCCAATGGAATACTACTCAGCCATGAAAAAGAATGAAGTGTTGCCATTTGCGACAACATGGATGGACCTAGAGGGTATTATGCTTAGTGAAATAAGTCAGAAAGACAAATACTCTGTTACCACTTATATGTGGAATGTAAAAAACAACAAATGCACATAACAAAACAGAAATAGACTCACTGATATAGAGAACACACTAGTGGTTACCATGGGGAGAAGAAAGCAGGGAGGGGTGAGATGGGGTAGGTGGTTAAGAGATACAAACTATTAATGTCTAAAATAAATAAGCTACAAGGATATATTGCATAGCACAGGGAATATAGCCATTATTTTATAACTATAAATGGAGTATAATCTATAAACATATTGACTATGTTGTATACCTGAAACTAATATAATATTGTAAATCAACTCTACTCCAATAAAAAATAAAATAAAATGAACGTCTTCAAGGCAAAGAGAGACACTGCTGGCGTATTAGCCAGGGTTCTCCAACAGGGTATATAGAGATATAGGAGATTCATGCTAGGAATTGACTCACACGATTATGGAGGCTGAGAAGTCAGAAGTCCCACCATCTGAGAGGCCCAGGAGAGCTGGGGTGTGATTCAGTCCAAGTCCGAAGGCCTGAAAACCACAAGCACCGATGTCTGAGGGCAGGAGAAGTTGGACGTCCCAGCTCAACAGAGAGAGTGAGTTCCCCTTCCTCCACCTTTGGTTCCACGAGGGCCCTCAAAGAATTGAACGTGGTCCATCACCTTGGGGAGGGGGGTGAGCTTTCCTCACCCACCGATTCAAATGTGAATCTCTTCTAGAAACGCCCTCGTAGCCACAGGCAGAAATCATATTTTACCAGCTACCTGGGCATCAGTCAGCCCCATGAGGTTGACACCTAAAATCAACCATCACACAAGCTGAAGCAGCAAGAGAGAAAAAGGGTCAGGGTTGGGTTCAACGGTCACCCTATTAGATTCCAAGACTTTTCACCCTTGGCTGAGACAGGCCGGTGGTGATGCAGGAGGAAAGAGTTCGGGAAGGATGTGATTCTCTCCGCAGGAGAGAGCTGTGTTTTTACGAAGAAGCTGCAGAAACACTCAGCATCTCAGAGGCAGAGGGTCGGGGTGGGGAGCTGAATCCCTCTGTGGCTTTTCCAACGCTTGTCAAAACAACTTCATGGCACCTCAGACACGCCAGCATCCGCCAGGCCCCCTCCCTCCGAGGCTGGGGTCCCAGGCCCATGTTTCCGCGTTTTAATAATCCCAGCGGTTCCCTTTGCTGCCTCAGCCTCCGGGGGTGATACTGTCAAGTTCTCTTTACCTTTTGAGTCACCAGAGTAGCAATTTTATACCTTATGTAACTATATGTATCGAATCTTCTCCATTCTGGTACCTGGCGTGGGCTGTCTTCTGTCTGAAACCCGCCCTGCGCCTCTGCAGTTTGTGGGTGTGAGCGAGTCCAGCCTGGAGAAGCGGGGAGGGGAGCCCAGTGGAGGCTGGAGGATACAGGTCAGCGAGGAGCGAGTCTGGAAGGCAGTCTGCGTCACTCCTGCTGCCCGAGGCTCTGGGGCCGTGTGGTCAGGGGCCTGGGTGGTGTCGGGAGAGGGAGGAATCAGGAGACCTCTCCTCTCTCAGTTCTGGGCTGCACTGGGGGCTGCGTGTTGCACGCTTTGCTGCCTCTTCTGGCCCTTCCGTGTCAATGTCCCTGCAAAGAGCCAAGTCACCAGAGCAGGTCTAACTCCCGACCCCGCTGCCTGCCACCCGCCACTGCCGCTTGTTCGCCGGTGCCTTCAGCGGCCCTTGTTAGGACTGGGAGAGTGGCTCTGGGGTCTGGCCTGGGAGAGACTGAGTTCCTCCAGGCCCGGTGCCTGGGTCCTGTCCTGGCCACCAGTCCTCAGGGAACTCGGGGTCCCTTCTGCAAACCCACACCCCCTGGACTGCCCCGACCTGCTCTTGGCAGCTCTAACTGGTTCTACAGGCTGAGGCTGCCTGGGCTCAAGCTGGGCCCTAGGGAGGTCTGGAAGCTGTCAGAAAAGTGAGGGCCTTGTGGGAATGAGGCAGGCTTGGAGGCTCCCTGTTACGTGCCCCCGAATTCCCATCTTGAAGCCCTAACCCCTCCCCCAGCACCTCAGAACGTGACTATTTGGAAACAGGGTCTTTACAGAGGTGATTTGTTAAAATGAGGCCCATAATCTGGCTGGTGTCCCTATAAGAAAAGATTAGGACAGAGGGAGAAGCCAGGAGTGCGTGTGCCCAGAGGGATGGCCACGTGAAGAGGGTGGCCACCTACACAGCAAGGAGAGAGGCCTCCGAGGAGACCAGCTGTGCTGACACCCTGATCTCGGACTCCCAGACTCCAGACTGAGACAGTGACTGTCTGTTGTTTAAGCCCCCGTGTGGTGTTCCGGTATGGCAGCCGGAGTGGACTCAACTGGTCCCCACATCTTCTCCAGCTGATTTGAATCATCCTTGAGCTGGTTTCCCTCTGTATTAGTTTCCTGCGTGTGACAAATTACCACAAACTCAGTGGCTTCAAACAACACAGATGCATTCTCCGACGGTCCGGGAGGTCAGAAGTCTAGAACCAAGGCTTTGAGGGGCTGGTTCTTTCCGGAGGTGTCGGGGAGAATCCGTTTCCTTGCCTTTTTCTAGAGGCTGCACAGTCCCTGGCTCGTGGCCCCTTCCTCACCTACTCCACCATCCGGGAGCTCCTGCTGCTGACCTGACCCTCCTGCCTGCCCCTTGGAAGGAAAAGCTGGTGGTGTAGTTTCAGTCCAAACCCGAAGCAGGGGAGCTGCTGTCCGAGGGCAGGGAGGACGGAGGCCCATGTGCGATGACCCTGTGGTCACACTGGCTATAATCCAACCGCATAACCCAGGGATTCTCCCAGCTCAAGACTTTTAGTTTCGTCATATCTGCAAAGTCCCTTTTGCCTTGTGAGTCCCAGGTCCTGGGGATTAGCATGACATCTTTGGGGAGATATGGTGTGGTTCAGCCCCACTCCCCTCTCCATTCCGGCTCCCTAACTCATGCCCCCTTACAAATCATCAGAGGCTGCTGGGGAAGCAAAAGATATGAGGTGTCCCGGCCTCCCACCCAGCCACTGCTTCCACATCGTCCCCACTAGGCCTCCACAGTGGGGGGCCAGTGAGAAGAAAGGCCTAGTCCTGCTCTGCAAGTCCATCCACTGTGGCACAGAAATGCTGAACGGCTGAAAGGAGTGACTTAAAATCAGGGTCTGGGCTCTGGGCATTGCCCTCTGAGTGCAGGTGCTCATCCAACAGGGGCTTTCACGGCGCCCGAGAGGCCCTGCAGGGGAGGGACGAGTGAGCTGGTTACCAAGTGGCTCTCTGGCCCCTTATCAGCGGTGGGAGCTTGGAGAAGTCACCAGAGCCCTAAACCTCAGTGGCCTCATTTGGAAAATGGGGACAATGGTGCCTACCATACTGGGTTGTCATGCGAATTAGTTGGAAATTTCTTTTTTACGTGGAAAGAGCTCAGCAGAAAGCCAAGCACTTACTGAGGGTTCAGTGAATGCTGGTAATAATGATGATATTCAGAAACTCTGCTCTTTCGTCTGTTCAGCCCTGCAGCATTCGGGGAGCTGACCAGGCCGTGAGGCTGCTGTGTGAGTGTGCATGTGTGTGTGAGCATGTGTGCGTGTGTACAGGGATGGGCGCTATGAGGCCGCTGAATCTCCCAGTGCGGTCCTGATTTCCCGCAAGGGCCCCTCAAAGAGCCCTGCCCCAAATGTGGGCTCCTGACAGACCTTCCTTCCCTCCCCCTTAGTTCAGGCACTCGACTCCGATGAGAAGATACTGCGTGAAACTGACTTCATCCTTCCACCCCGAGGCCCCCGTGTATCCTCCGGGTTGACCCAGCATTAGTCACCCTGCATGACTGCTGAGCTGTGCACCAGCCGCGACGCACCCCACGTGCAGACGGAGGCTCCGCGCTCCTGGAAGGTGCCTGTGTGTTAGCGCCCCGTGGTGCGCGGGGAGGGGTGTGTGTGTGTGATTGTGGGTGAGGGGCTGTGTGCGAGTGCACGTAAGTGTGAATATATGAGTGTGAATGAGCGTGAGAGTGTGAGCGTGCAATGGGCAGGCTGCGCGGGGCCAACCCCCCTCCGGCACCGAGTGGAAGCAACCCCGGGGCGGGGGCGTGAGCAGAGTGCGCAGGGCTCACAGCAGCTGGAGTCTGAGCGTGAACCTGCTCTCGTCCCCGATGCTGGGGAACTGACCCCAGTCTCAAGTCACTGAGACGTGATTTCAGGCTCGGCTATCCCGCTGCCTCGTTGGAGGCCCCGGTTCTGGGTTTGCGAAGGATGAGGGAGGCCGGGACTTTCTGGGGAGTGAACGGCGCCCATGAAGGAGCAAAGACCACGGGGTGAGACTCACCTGGTCCGTGTGGCATCCGGCAAAGGCAGGCCGCCCCGGGAGCTTCGGGTCCTGATGTGGAACCGGGCCGTGGTTCCCGCCTCCCTGGGCGCAGGAGAGGATTCAGTGAGGGGGTGTCAGTGGGTTCCCATCACACAAGAAAGGGCCCAGCGCCCTGCTTGCTCAGCACTCAGGTCCCTCGCCTGGCACAGCACCTGCAGCCCTGCTCTCCCCCCACGCCTATCCCGTGCTCCCCTTCCCCTCCCCCCTCTGCAATCTCTGCACGAGGAGGCCGGGAGAAAGTCCTGCCAAAAAGCTCCCTCACCAGGGCGGAGGCGGCCCGGCCAGGTTCCTGTTTGCCTGAACCAAAGCCGCAAGCCCTTCAAAGGAACCTAGCAAACCCGGATGGAACGGCTTGTTTTTTCCCACACAGAAGGAGGAGTCAGAGAAGTGTGCGAAGTCAGGCTCCACCAAGCTCACAAAAGGCTTTTTGTTCCAGCTGAGACGGGTGAAAAAACTCACAGAATTGGGAGAGGGTGTGTGCTTGTTTCTCTGCTCTTAGTGTTTAGGTAGAACCACCTGGCTTCCCTCCCCATCTCCCACCCCGAGTCCTCTACCAATTAACCCTCTTCGTCTGCCGTAGAGAACTCTAGAGCCGCCCAGCCAGCAGGGATTTCTGAGGTCTTTAGTCCAGCTGAATTTTAATTTTCCAAATAATGATACGTGATACTTATTAAATTATATAGCTCTGCAGTACTTGTGCATGTTTTGTATTGTTGGGAGTGATGCAACTAAGGCTTCTGCCTAAGGTTAACCAGCTGGTCTCTGGCTGAGCTGGGGCTGGAAGCAGGTCACTGGGACTCAGCTCGGGCTTAGCCTGGGATCCTCCACTGTCATTTCTGAACTGATGTGGACAGTCTGCTTGTTCCCGACCCTTTTGTCTATAGTAAAGAGAGATCTATATTAAGGTTTGTTTGTTCCCATGAAATCATAAGTCCCTCTAGGCAGGTCACTGTGTGCCTGGCACCCCTGCAGTTGTGCAGTGCACAACCTGTGAGAGGGAACAGGGTGGGCCTGCTTCCAGGGTTAATCCAGTAGTGTTAATTCATCCCTCTGGCATGCATGGAACAATGCCCTTGGGGGGAAATTATGCCTTTGCTCCTGAGACTGGGGCTCCTAATGCACATAATCTAGTATAACTGGGCCCAGCTGTGTGGAAAGAAACCAGGAAGTAAGGGCTTCTCAGTCCCAGACACCCTGGCTGGGGAGGCCCTTGTGCTCTTAGCCAGGCTGGGCTTAGGGGGAGGTGGGTGTGTGGACAGGGGAACCATCCTTAGCGGGCAGACAGGAGAGTGTTTCTGGGGGGCTCTGATGGGGCAGAGCTCTCAGGCCCAAGGCAGCTAGAGAAGGAAGAATTCAGTAGTTTCTGTCTTGACTCAGAGGCAACCCTGTGAGTTTATGAGCTCTCCTCGCTCTGCATTATAAGCGCCATTTCTTCATCTGTTGAAATGAACAGAGCTCTCCTCGGGCTCATGTGCAGGCCCACTGTCTACTGGGCCATGGAGGAAGGCCCTGGCCTTGTGGGAAGAGTCTCAGAAAGGCAACCTTGCCATGGCCGCAGGACCGAGGGCAGAGTAAGGACTAATGGTGAGAATTTCTGGAGGCCACATTTTATCCCAATGGTGGGAAGAAGTTTCTATCAGTAATAAGAAAACCCTACAATCGAGGTACGGACTCCCTGGCATCTCGGCCCTCTCTGTCCCTCCCTAACTGAGTTACTGCTGGGAGTGTGTGTGTGTGTGTGTGTGTGTGTGTGTGTGTGTGTGTGTGTGTGTGTGTGTGTGTGTGTGTGTGTGGTGGAGCTTA